TGTCGTTGTTTTTGCAGAAACCATCCATACCTCATACTTCATACCATCCTATATCCATAATGGTGACTTAAGTGTCAAAACTGTCTTTAGTTTCTATTTGAACAGTTTACATTTTTGTTGTTTTTAGTTCACTTCTGGTGGAAATATTGTTTCTTATCCTGCTAGTGAGTCATAAACTAAACTGAATATTGACTCTTGATATACCATGGCTTGGCCTCCCTCAGCTGGAAAGTACATGTTTGTGTCTGAGTGCAATAATGAAACATCATAATTAGTGTGTATGTACAGTTCAGCTGTGTTTCTGCGTGTTTTCCGGTCTGCCCCTGTGGGACAGACTCTGTAGATCTGAGCGCTGATCAGAAAGGTCCTTGTATCGGGGTGGAGGCGGTGGAAATCCCCTCTTAACGTGTGTGTGTGTGTGTGTGTGTGTGTGTGTGTGTGTGTGTGTGTGTGTGTGTGTGTGTGTGTGTGTGTGTGTGTGTGTGTGTGTGTGTGTGTGTGTGTGTGTGTGTGTGTGTGTGTGTGTGTGTGTGTGTGTGTGTGTGTGTGTGTGTGTGTGTGTGTGTGTGTGTGTGTGTGTGTGTGTGTGTGTGTGTGTGTGTGTGTGTGTGTGTGTGTGTGTGTGTGTGTGTGTGTGTGTGTTTTTGTATGCTGTTTCCCTTAGTCCGTCTGAGGCCATGAGATCACACAGAGCAGACTGCTGTAACTTAAGTATTTGATGGTATGCAGCAACATGTCCCTTCTGTTAAAACAAGTGGGAATATAAAAGCATGTATGTGTCGCTAACAATCAGGGAGTGTTTAACTGTAATTCCTAAATCCCCTTTTTTCTTGTATAAGCAACATTTGGATGCAGTGATGAAAGCATTAAAGCATCAGCATGAAAACAATCAGCCTCTCAATTACTCTGTGGTACATTTAAAAAAAATCATATTGCTATTTATTTATTTTTCCCCTACACCAAACATTAATTAGACAAATGTAAAAAAATGAATGGATATTGTATCCAGCACCAATCTTTTATATATTACATTTTTGACATTTTGAGACAAAAATGTTAAATGCCTACCCTTTACAGGCATTTCTGTTTCAATCATCTTGTCCTTAAATGTAAACCTTATTTATATAGATAGTCTTACCCTTTAACCCTGCAGATGTTTCCCAGAATCTATCAAATGATGTCATTCAATTACAAATAACTCAGGAACAGTGAAGCCAGTTAATGCTTTGCAAAGATTTTAGTTGAAACTTTTTGGTCATTAATATCCAATTTTCCTCTGAAGGGAAGTATGTAAACCCTTCGATTAGAAGTGGTGCAAGTTATTATCTAATGCCTCAATGCTTAGTACATCAATTCTTAGTTTTTTATTTGATTGGTGGTAAACTGAGTGGAGTGAAAACGGATCAGAGTAAGACTGTTATACAAGCGCCATAGTTAAGTGGATCTGGCAGCTACCTTCTGTAGAGAATGGATTTAGTTTGTGGGGACCCTCAAGAAGTTGGGCTTGTGACCAGTGTGAGGTCCCGACTCACTTAGCAAGATTGTACAGCTCTTTACCCATTTTTGTGGGTTTTAAAATCAAAGTCATGAACGTGGTTAAGAGCTCAAGCAATAAATCTATTCAGTTTTACCCTGATGCAGCCTCACCACCACACACACAAACACAAGTCACTATGTTGATCACATCAGCATCCTCCAGCCCCAAAATGAAACCCAATGTAGTTTTGTGAAAATATTACAGCTTGAAACTGTGTCTTACTGTCAGTTTGGTATGGCAAACGGTTCTGAATAACACAGTGTCTATCTGACTCTATGGCTAACCGCCAGCCAGATGTGTAAACCCGAGCTGTAGCCAATGCTTGTGTCTCCTTCAGGTCTAACAAAAAATGCTGAATGCTGTCCCTTCTCTTTTCTCAAACGTTTGATTACAGCATTGTTTAAAAGTAAACCAATGTTTTTTTAGTTACTTTTCTTCTTTTGATTGCATATTGTTACATTTCTAACAGCACTACCAACACCAGTAGATCTGTGGATTACAAACCATTGGCAATGTGCATGTGCAGAAAAGAACCAACTCCTTAAGTATTCACATCATTTTCACATATTCACATAAGTTTAACAGTTGCAAAAAGGGATAAAAACACTTATCAGCGGTATTACTTCTGTTGAATTTATTATGTATTAGCATATAAAGATGAACCTAAGTAAACTGATTTACTGAATGTGTTATCCTGCTTCTAGCATAATCTTAAATTTCCGCTCTTTGTAAGCAGTATGGAATTTAAAGCTTGGTTATTGGTTGTTACATAAATGTTCTTCTGCAGAAGTTTTTATTGTACATTTTGTCTCATTTTTAACAAAGAACTGGGTACTTTAATCACACAATTTCTCATCTGGTGTACAGATGATTCAACCGTGAGAAAGTCATGCTCAGGGAGTCGCCTTGGATGCGCTTTGATTGCAATTCACCAGAGAATGAGCAGAACTTCTGAAACACTGGGGAGAGAAAAAACTCCCCCCTACTTTCAATACTAATTCTTGCATGTTTGCTCCTCATAAGTATAGAATAACAAAAACAAGCTCACCATTCGCACATAAGAGTTTAAAAGTTCAAAGAAAACTGTTCCATAGGATGAGAAGGACCTTGCTATGCTTTGCAAAAACACAAACCACCTCAGAAGTGCTGAGAGTACGGAGAGGAAACATCTCAAATGAGTGTAAACTGTTCTGACATCAGACGCTTGTGGAGTTAAACTAAACACACACTCCCTCTCTTTCTCTCACTCCCCCCCACCAGAGTGAGGGAAGGCTGTGGGCAGAGTGCCAGGTGCCTCTCATGTTTGGGAGAGCAAACAGGCACATGCCTTTGATGGCGAGGAGATCAGAGCAGGGGACACATTCTATGTGGCCACGCTAAGGTCGCCGCAGTGCGCACCCTGCTGCCATGTTGTGCTCTGCAGCTAGGAGACCAGGAGTACACACAATGCAGGGGCAGCAGAGTGTGTGTGTGTGTGTGTGTGTGTGTGTGTGTGTGTGTGTGTGTGTGTGTGTGTGTGTGTGTGTGTGTGTGTGTGTGTGTGTGTGTGTGTGTGTGGTGTGTGTGTGTGTGTGTGTGTGTGTGTGTGTGTGTGTGTGTGTGTGTGTGTGTGTGTGTGTGTGTGTGTGTGTGTGTGTGTGTGTGTGTGTGTGTGTGTGTGTGTGTGTGTGTGTGTGTGTGTGTGTGTGTGTGTGTGTGTGTGTGTGTAACCTTGACACACAGTTGTAGGTTATAGTGGAAAAACATCAACCATAGGATCAGGACTGTAATATTGACTCTATATTCATTCAAAAATGTGTCAGCAGTGACTTCAACCCTTACTTGATTTTGGTCATAATCACACTCGTGTGTTAATAATATTTTAGGAGAAGTCTTTAACTACATTTGTAGTCATGCAAGTGGCTAAATAAAAATGATCTACCTATCAAATATTATTGGCTTGAACTTAGATAAACTTGGATTCTATTAAAAGACCTGGAGAACATTCTTATTTAACATTCTATTTTTTCTTCTTTGTTATCATTTAGGTTTAGGCTAAATTGACCCATACTGTCTCTACATGTATATTATCTTTGATTAGTTATGGTGATTTAGTTGTTTTAATTTTGTTTTAAGTATTGGATTATGTCTTTTACTTGTGTTGCTCTACAATCACTTAATGCTGCATTATTTAAGACAAAATGTTATATATTATTTAAATTAATATGAAACATGAAGGTGAACAAATTAGGATTTAATGACTAATCATTCTGCAACTATTTAAAAAAGCGGTTAGAATAAACTTCCCTTAAAAAATGCAGTGTTAAGATTTTCTTTGTTCTTCCTTTTTGTGTTATATGATAGTTACCAGAATACTGTATATTACATTTTTCAATCAAACACAACATTTGAAGACTTTTTATTTACTATTTTCTGACATTGTATTTACGAATCAATTATTCATAAAAAGAAAATGATTGTGATAATGAAATACGATAACCAGTAATTTACCCACTTTTTTAATAACTTTAATTATTGCTATACTGTATGACTTAAATTAAAAAGAACAAACAAATGCTTTACAAAGAAAAAACAACACAATGCATAACCACACAATAGCAAACACACTGTGGCTGCTTAAAGTTACGGAAATATTCAGTTCAGTTCTGGTAAAATTGATACCTAAGACAGTTCCTGTTATTTTGTATCCGGGCTACATATCTTCAGTGGTTGGTCCTGTGACTGTGTAAGCACTGGCACTGCAAAACCACACCTTTCCTTTATTCACCAAACCAAAATGACAAATGTTATCGACTACGCATGAACTCATTAAAACTTAATGCGGGGTCCCACCCGAAACTGATAGGCCCAACAAGTTGGTGCCTCAGCTCAAGAAACAATATATGGTGACTGTCCATAGTCAAGATGGGGTTGTGATTACACAAATTATCCGTCGATTATCTTCGTACAGTATTTTTTTATGTCATTTTGAGAGTTGAAAATGAATTCCCAAAAAGTATGCTTCGGCCTTATCTGTATTTTCACATGTGTAGATTTACAGGTGTCTGTTTCCTGTGAGGTGGTGTAAAGTGCGTCTGTGTGGTGAGGGTGAGGGGGTATTTGGTTTCCTGCTAGGAGTTTGACTTCATGTAAATGACTTGAGGGCCTCAGAATGTGAGAGTGCGTTTTGTTTTTGTGTGTGTGTGCTTGTCTGTGTGTCTGCAACTTTCCTACTCCACTCTGCTGACAGCTGTGAGTCCGACACAGTAACTTCCCCACAGCTAAACCCTCCTCATGATAAAGAAGCTCTGCAGCCGGGTGCCCCCTCTCACCGCTCCCCCTCCTCAGCAGCAGCTGCAGCAGCAGGCGCCCCGAGTGGGACCCGTGGGTGGATGCTGCCTGGGAGTGGCTGGGCAGCGCTCTGGCTCCATGTGCACTGTCTGTTCTAACTGTGTGCCTCTGTGTGGTGGTTGCTTGTCGACAGATGAGGCGTACCAGAAGCTGGCCACGGAGACGATGGAGGAGTTGGACTGGTGTCTGGACCAGCTGGAGACCATCCAGACCTACCGCTCCGTCAGTGACATGGCTTCCAATAAGGTAGGCAGGCTCCATCATGTGATTTGTATTATTATATTCTTCTTCTGGCTAGCCTTAATTGATTAAGATACACTTTTGCTTTTAAACAAACCCTGCAAAAAGCACTGATCCTAAAGAGGGGAAGAGAATCCAGGGATACTCTTGCTGTAAACACACATGAGCTTAGCATGACCTTGGCAAAGTCAACAAAGTTTGAACAAGTGCAGTAAGAAGAGGTTTGTTTTTTTTAGAGGCTGAAGTAAGCAGTGTTGGTCTAAACGCACAGTTGTATGACTGAGACTGGATGTCACTCATCACATGATTTCTGCCTGAACCAGCATCAAGCTCCATCCTTTTTTTCTTTTTCTTTTTGTGCAAATATTATCTGACTAAAGGAAGTGTGGCTTTAATGTCTTGACCCGCTGTGGTCCTCTTTTCATCTTCCCCGATAATCCACTTTTCATCGTCCACTGGTTATTCTGTTGCTTCTGCGTCATTGATTGGGTGTGATGTGCACCAAGGTTTCATTCCTGTTTTGTTTTTTTAAATGACCCATTTAACCATATTACTCACTGACAGGGCTCATTGCACAACAACATTTGGCTGTCTCTATAAGATGTATTACTTATCAATTAATCTCCTAATTGTACATGTATCTAAGAATTGCTAATTATGATTCATGTTTTAAACATTTTTAATATAAATATATAGGAAGTAGGAAGTTACAGATTTTACAATATCAATATACTCAAATCAATACTTAAAGATTTTACGACTTGCTTGTGGCAGAACAATCCCGGAATACTGCTTTACTGTATATGCCGTGTGGTAGCTGTTTGTAAGAGTGCCTGAAAACAGTTTGTTAAGCAAGCCAAGAGGATAAGCTTGTTATTTCACATAAAATTGGACAACAGGATGTGAGGGATCCCGCAGTGGGTCAAACACAATAAACTAAAGCGGAAGAGCGAGTGTGTGTGTGTGGTGTATATGTATGTTTATGTGAATGTGCGCGTGTCTGTATGTGTGAGGGCAGAGTGACTCTCTCTTCCTGTCTCCTTCCTGATCCCCCTCTCTCTCTCCAGACGACAATAGACGTCCCATCATGCCCATTTAGATGGTTGTGTTTATTTATCCTATTACTGTCGTCATCTGGACATACATCCAACACAGTCAGCTGGACTGGTTTTGGTTTGAACACATGGACTGGATAAATACTATTTACCACTTTAAACAACAGACATGATATGACAAACAATGGATTTAAGGCTACAAGACAACTGAATAACACAGGAGAGTTCTGTTGGAGCATAATGTGTTCAGGGTTTTTCAAAAAAGAATAAAAAGTCTCACTTTTTTATTATATTCATAACTGTGGTTAAGCTGCTGATTCATATTGACCTCACATATGTGGACTTGTGGGACAAATGATCTCACTGTAGACTGTAATTTTAGCACTTTTGCAATCACAAAATATTTGGCAAACATTAACCGCAGGTCATGATTGATTTCAGGAGCCTCTCCAACTCGAAAAATTCCAAAATATCCCAACTATTGATTAATAGAAGAACAGTTCTGGTTTTTAACCAGCAAACCCAGAAAAATATTACCTTTAAATTTACCTTTTAAGAATGTTGCAAATTGAGATGTGTTTCTCCAGACATTTAGCCAGCAATGTGAGTGCTGGACGTGACTGGTCAGGTGGCACAATGTGCTTGTTGTGTATTATGACCTTTTCTCATTACTGTGACTTTGGCATGTGGGTGAATGCGTACTCGCACGTAACCATCTGATAAGGACTCTTTCAAACATGTCTGGCATGAACTTTTTGTGTTTGTGTGTGTTTGTGTGTGTTTGTGTGTGTTTGAGTGTGTACGTGGTTCTGTGTCCATATTGACATTAGGTTAATCCCATTGATATCTAAGCAGTCTTACTCCTAGCCTTGTTTTCACAGTAAGCTAAAACATTACACAACTGCTGCCGCTCTGTCATGTGGGGCGTAAAACTCGACCTGGTTTTATTAACATGAACATGCCACTCAGCTAATGTGACCCCTCGACTACCTGTTGTGTGAAGATGGAAAACTGTTATTCAAGCTGTGTCACAGTATGGAACATGAGTACGTGGGAGGTGAAATTTGAGAGGCTGTGGCTGTACCTTCAAGGTGAAGTGCAGGCTGTCGCTGCACCCGACTGTCCTCCTTGTTATGAATGGCTGACGTAGACATGTCAAGGCCTGTTGTGAGTTGGAATATTTCTCTGTGTTGTGGCTGTTTGGGTCTAGGGATGAAATGATAAATCAGGTATCTGTTAGGCAATTGGCACAAATAATTTGTCAACATTTGTTGTTAATTAAGTAATCAGTCAGCAAAAAAATATATATATATATTGCTGTTTGATTTTAAGTTGACAAATTAGTTTCTTCCAGCTTTGGGAATGATAGGAGTTTTTAAGAAATTAGTCTACAGAATATTTGTATTGATTAAGTCACTTTTAAAACATCAGAAAAATGTAAATTGCTAATGAATTAATAATTAACTCTCACAGTTCTCTGGTGTTACCGTTTGTAATTTCTGTAAAAAAAAAAAAAACACAAACAGGTGCGATATTTTATAAAGGATGTTATTGGACTTTATTAAATTGCAGATCAACAAATGTCTACCATGGTTCATAAATATTCACCACCCGCAAACATGATGAAAGAAACAATTATAAATATATGTAAATACTGTAGTTTCAACACAGAATTGTGGTATCTCTTTACACAACAACACAGGTTGAAAGAAAATCAATTGTGGCTCGTGGCACACATTGGATTTTCTATTGTGCATTACAACAAAGTCCTACATTTTTCTTTCACCTCAAATTTGTGCATTTTTTCTACAAATGTATAAAGGCAGCATAAGAGTGCTTTTGGTTATATTCCATATGAAGGCATGCTACTTTTCAAGTTAAAGTAATCACCTGTGTCTATCAAAACAGGAAGTGTTTTAGTCATCAGCATGGATTTATAAAGGGTGATCTCAACAGTGTCGACCCCAGAGCTATAACTGCTGGCTGCAGGAGTCGTGAACAGAAAGCTTAGAAGCACAAGAGGCAAGAGGCGGGACTACCCCCATGAGGGAGTGTGTATGAGCCAGAGGTCTGTCTCTCTTGCACTCACACAGTCAACCATTGCTTCACATACAGTACACAGGGTGTGAGGTACAGCCTAGTCAGACCTCGAAGCCCAAAGTGAGTCACTAGAGCTGTTGCGTTTCCCGGCGTCAGAGAGCCAAGGCTTGTTCCTTTCACTCATCCTGTAGTCAGACTGAGACAGACACTTTATAGGACGGCAGCTCCGCTCTACTCTGCACTCTACACACCAACATGGGAGCCTGCTGCTTTGACAAGAAAGAGAGGAAGTTAGGGAAGCTCAATGGTTGGAGAAAGGTGAGTTATTTTAGACTTTTCAAAAGTTTGTTGTAAAGAGTTGACTTTTTTTGTATTATTTTCTCTGTGTCGTTTTGGTGGACTTTGAGTGCTTAACTTTGCTCAACATGACATGACTTGAACATGCTTCGTTGTTTTTAAAAATAAAAGTTTCAGGTGCTCCTTTTTGTCCTTTGTGATGATTAAAGTGGTCACCCTAACATTGAGAGGACTTTAAACATATCTTACAGCTGCACATGCTGAGCGCCTGCATTAGGGTTTTCTTACTTTTGAAAGCATTTGATGTTTAGTTCCTTTACTGTACATTACATAAGTTCTTTTTTCAGTGGTAAACTTATTTGGTCATTTTCTTTTTAAACCCACTTTTCAGAGGTTCTTGCAAGGAGTGGAGCATGCTTTCTGCTTTTGAGAACCCTTGTGCACACTTTATTATGACACTGAATTAAGATGTGTGGCAGTTTTTTAAGACACTGAGAGAACTCTTGCCATCCTTAGAGCAGAGAGCCAAGTTTAATTCGGTGCAGATCAGAGATGGAATGTTTTTCTGTCTGTTTCAGGTAGAAATGTCATTTGTGGGATTACTTAAACTGTACTTTAGGATATCAGACTTTTAATTACACATGCTGTTTTGTTCTGAAACAATGTTAAACTGACTGTTACCTATATAGTAGTTGGTACTTGGTACTTTCAAAAAACTGTTTTGTGGAATCAAAAGCATCTTGGAAAGATCAGCCTGCGAGTTTGACTTTCTTTAGAAGAGTCAAGTGTCATCTAAAGAGACAAAGGGAATTGAGTTATTAAGCACAAGGACCGTGGATGTAGGTTACGTGAGACAGAGTAAGGTTATACGTTTTATTTCTGCATTGTATCAAATCCTCTGAGTTTTCAGAGGGTTTTTTGGACTGAAGCCGAACACTCTGATCATCTGTGGAGAAGAGAGAGGTAGCGGCAAAGTGGTTAGGTGCTGATTAAAGTTTAAAAACAGGATGAATAAAGAGTGGCAAAACCTTTGTGGATCTTTTTCTCAGAGGTTAGGAATATAGATGACATTAGTTTTGTTTGCATTATCGAACATTGCTTTCTGTGTTAGTTAAGCCCTCATTTGAGTATAGAATAACAAATATTTTTTGGGTAATTCAAGGATTTCTTGTTTCTTGGTGTATTACTGCGTCTGTAATATTTCACACCAGATTGTTTTCTGCTTTCGAAGCAACCAGAGCTCAAGGGTGCAGCTGAGTAGCCTGTTAACTGTTCTCCTTCAGCCAAAAAGTGTGTTGCACACCACATCTGACTCTGGGACCTTGCACAGCTGGAAGTGATAGAAATGAATCACTCAGCTGAGAAATTGCTTGCTTACTTATTCCTCTCAATCCATTTGTTGTCTCTGTCTGTTAAAGCTGATTGTTCTTTCTGATACATCTTAATGTTTGGATTCAGAGAAATTAATCCACTCTTTCTCATAAAGATACACATGTGCATGAGTGAGTCAGAGGAAGTGAGAGGTTGTCCATCTCTCAGAAACTTCTGTAGCTTCATATGACTTACGCATGGTTCATACGTAGGAAGGTTTCTCAGTCTTTACGGAGTCATGTCACAGTACGTCTGTGCCGATGTTACCTGCCTGCGTCATATGTTTGCAAAAGCGAGAAGAAGAGAAACCACAACTGTAGGTTTGCCTCGAAATGTCTCAAAAGTCACTATCGGTGATGTTGCATTCAGTAAATGTACGATTATATTTACTAAGAAGATTCAGATGGTAAAGAAATGTTGTTATGGTATTAATAATTAATTTAATTAAAGCTACTGAGGAAAAAAATGTAACCTTTTTGTGTTATTGATTTGCTTTTCAAAACTTTCACACTCATCTTTGTAAATACAGATTAACAGATTAGTTAGTTGAACAACTGCCAACACAACAGTTGTTTGCATGTTTTTATATTGTATAGAAAAAGATCATTTACACAGTTTTTTTCTCCATAGGTCAAGCAGTGCATTTATGTTACTGCAGGGTTAAGAGGTCATTACTCTCTGAAAACTGAACAGGCTGTTTTACTGCTGACTGAGCGTAGTGCACCCACTAGTGGCTCTCAAAGGCACAACTTCAATCTGAACCACTTCAGATGAGAATCAAGCAAAGATAAGGATAAGGGGATAAGAGGAAAACATATAACGACCGAAAGAAGCAAATGTGTCATATATACTGTATATACTATGTGGGTATGTGAAAGAGAGATACCCATAAAGCTTAGAGGGGCTAATCTTCCTCAAACGTCATGGTGTCAGTAGGAGGTAAAGCGGCTTGCCCTGATATACAACACAATCAGATACACACTTGCAATAATACACACATACGAGTGTGTAAAACATGCATGTGACATATCAGCATCAATTGTGGTTAACTGTAGATAATAGCATTTGTTGGCTGCTGCTGAGTGTGTGCACTGAGGCATTTCTTCCAGCCCTTGGGGAAGCACAGCTCTTCAACACATTGCCGAGAGACATCCCCCGCTGTTATTTCTGGTTTCTTTATATATTATGCAGTAAGCTATTATATAAAGAGCTGCCTCCTCTGTTTCTTTTATTTATTTATTTATTTCCTCTCGCGTCCCACCTCCCTGCTTCTGGTTCTTTCCCTCAGTGGGAGGATAATCCGGGATCCTCTCTGGGAAGCTTTGATCTCCCCCTCATCTTTCCGAACTCGTTCGCACACAAACGCATCGGACTGAGAGGTTCTGTGGGAACTTCTGTTTACAGTTTCCCATGGATTGGCTCTGAACTGACAAAACTGGATATTTTCTCATTAGCGAAAGCAGAAGAGCGATCCGCTGAGGGGTTTCACGGAACAAAAGTCGTGACAAAAAGCACAAGCAGCGCCATCAAAATAGGCTGGCGGTTCTGGTGTAACAGTATATCAGTCAGGTGGCCCTAGCCTTGCACACTGCAGCAGTATCAACACCTGCTCCAAGGACAGCCCATTGATTCTGCCATCGAAGCAGACAGACAGAGAGATTGATGGCAGTGTTGGCAGCAGGGAGAGAAATTGACATGTAAGTGGTGGAGAGTGAGGGAGAGATGGAGCGGAGGGGAGGGGAGGGGGAGGTCGATGAATGTGAGCAGAGGCGATGTGTGTGGTGCATTCTCGTGACAGCTCAGCAGCTACACCACACGTCTGCCTTGGAAAAGGAAAAGGGGAAGCCTCTCCTCCTTTTCAAAACAGCCCTACACTGTCTGCCTGATGCTGTTGCCATAGCGTTGCGGTGTTCTGGTAATTGGCGCACACACACTTTCACCGACCAAATTGGGGAAGGATGCAATTATCTCCCATCTCTCTTTTTTCTTTTCCTCTGCTGTGACCGTCTTCCTCCACTCCCTAGTTGTCTCGCGCTTGGTAAAAATAGCCCTGCACAGATACCCTCCAATATTATTATGGGATGCAGATAATGACCAGGCTTATGAGATCTCCACAATGGCCGCCACGCTCGGGATGTCAGTAGACAACAGAAGACTCAAAAGAGGGAGAGGATAATAATAGACATAATGGCGATAAATACAGTTGCATTCACATTCCTCCATCCCCTCTGTCAAATTATTGTTTTACTGCAGAGGGAAGGAATAGCTGTACAGCTCCACGAAATTCCTTCACAATGGCTGAACTGACGTCATGAAAGAATGCCTTTGAGAGGGAATTACAGGGGTTGGGAATAGACAAGGATGGGATTCATGGGCAATGGTTGCACAGCTGGAAAACGTGAGGAGAGAGGACATCTTATCAGGAACTCAAGTCTGGATATGAAATATCAGTCACTCAAACATCCCATCACAACCTCGTGTTTACACCAATGCCAAGCCGTAATTAGGGCTCCCCCCTTCTCCCCACTTTCTGTCAAATCATGTCTTCTGAAGAGAGCGTGTTGCTGGGGCTGGCAGACTACAGCGGGGGGGGAAAGAGACAGGAGAGGGAGGGAACCGAAGAGAGAGACAAAAGCAGGGTAGGAGGGGGAGTGAGCGCTACAGCAGTGAGAGCAGCAAAGCAAGACAAATCCAGTGGAGGAACCCCCCCTCCAGTCAGATGAACATCACTACCTCACTCCCTCCCTCCTGCTTCACCCGTCTCCATCGTTGTTTTTTTCCCCCTCCTCCCTTTCTCTCTCCTCTATAATTCATACTGCTCACGGCTCCAGCTGCTCCATCCCAACCACCGAGCCTGTTGGATCTCCTCCTCTACTCGCTACATCGTCTTCTCTTTCCTCCATTTGTCCGTCCATCTATTCTTGCATCCCTCCACAGGCATGGAGAGTCAAAGCTGGCCTTTTTATGCTGCTGAGAGGGAGAGTGAGCCATCATCGAGCTGCTCTCTTAGCTGCTGAAAAGGGAAACACAAGACAAGAGAAGAAGGGATTTTTTTGTCCTTTTTGGCGTTGAAAGAATCCTGTTTGTCTGCCTCCATTTTTTTCTATTGGATTACAGTTCTGGCTTTGTGTAGGAACCAAAAAACGGGGTCCAAAATGCCTGAAGCAAATTACCTGCTGTCGGTGTCTTGGGGTTACATTAAGGTGTGTGGCGCTTATCTACGTAGCATGTCGGGATAACATATGGATTTCATTGTATCGCTTTGCTGTGTTGCTGTTGAAATTCAGCATTTTGATAATTATTTTGTGGAGCATTTGAGATAACTGTGCTAGCCTAATTGCACCGAAATACATTTCCATCATGATGAAGGGGGTCTGGCAGAATGGTGTTTGTGGCTCAGGCTCCATCTTGAGCCCTTTGCAGAGCTCTGTGTGTCTGTATGTGTGAGTTGGTCTGTATGTGTGTGCACGTGCATGCATCAGTCTGTCATAAACAGCTGCTGCTGCAGTGCTCGGGTCTCCATGTTCTGTCAAATGCATCCGTCTCCCTCAACTATTTCCTCTATTCAAAATGGTTCATGTTATTGAAAGTACATGAACATTTAAAGAATGTTGTAACAAAGAGGAATTTAGAGTGCACTGTGCAGATTTTGCTCTTGACATCATTGAAATGTTTGCATACTGACGTATGTGATTCAGTGCAATAAAACTGAAAATTGGTTGCCCGGGGTGAATTGAGGGTTATAAAAAGGGGTTGACTTCCCCACTGGTAAAACAAATAATGATCAGCATCCTCATTAATTCCAGGGAAAATGGAGGGGGAAATAACATGTGTGTCCCCCCACTGATTTGACGCTGTAATTAAATAATAATCTTGAGCTGGTGGAATACTGCTGCATTTTCCATGGAATCTTGTACCATAATGTTTCCCAGGTTTTCCCCTCTCTGGAAACTGACGACATGTCTTCCCTCTCCCCCCTCCTCTCCCTCTTTTTCTCTTGCAGTTCAAGAGGATGTTGAATCGGGAGTTGACGCACCTATCTGAGATGAGTCGGTCCGGGAATCAGGTTTCCGAATTCATCTCCAACACCTTCCTAGGTAAAGTCTAATGTACATGCACTCAAAATCACTGTCAAGACTCACAAATCTTGTTTTTATAGTTAATCAATAATCATTACCAACAATAACTGTATATACATATACATATAAAGTCCCAACAGTTCATATACAAATACAAATACAAAAAATATAGTTGCTCACAAAGACCGCCCCACTCTGTTTTGCTGCAATGTGTTTGTGGTGGTTCAGTACATGTTAAGCTGTGCAAGTTGATCTGGCAGGCTTTTCTGTGGGGGCGTACCATAAAACACTGCGCCATTTAGCTTTGTCTGGATGTCATCGGGCTCCAAATGGCCATCGATATTGAAGTGAGAAGGGCACATTTCTTAAAGAATGACGAAGGGCAAAAAAGGGTGTTTAAGGTGGCCGACTACTGTTAACGTGTAATTTGACAACAAGGGGCTTGTTAACAAGAATCTGAGCGGTCTGGAAGTGGATGCTGTCAGTGTGGGTTGCAAACTTGAGCTCTGAGAATAGATGGGAATACATTTATATATTTTTATACTGTATTTAGATACTTTTCTTCTCTTTTTGGACAGCCGCATGAACATCATGTTGCTTGACCCCGGTACAAAACAACACTATTGAGTCACTGTGTGGCAATACAAATATGAAAATCGGCACTATAAGAAAAATCAGCCGATTTCTTCAAATGGGTTCAATGTAGGCTTTTGGTTAATGGGAGAATCCCACAGGAGCTAAAGAAAATAACGTGAAAGTTAGACAAATTATTCAATTATTAGAAATACAGATTGAAAAACAAAAGGGACGCTAGAAGGGTGACAGAATGCTCCTTGAAGTAGTTCAGATTATTTATGGGCAGTGGCTTCTGATCGATTGGCAACCTGATCCGGTTTAGTGTTGTTGGCGGATCCCTCCTCACCGGATCATAGAGAGAGAGGGAAAGGTTGATGAGAGACAGAGAAAAAACAAACGTGGGAGGGAGGGAGAGAGGGAGATGACTGCAGTGAGGGAAAGAAATGGAGGTATGGAGGAACCCCCTTAGCTGGCAGTGAGATGATCTCGGCAGATTCAGTGACTCATCCCCATCTTAGTGCATCTTTGTCAGCGGGGACACCTTGTTGTCACTCCACCTCTCGCTGCCCTGAGAATCCCGACAGAGATGACTATCGCTTCGATAAGGAAGTCGGGATTACCCCACTGGCGGTAGGGAAAAAAACAGTTATGAGGAGTGGGAGGGGAAAAAACGGCTGAAGCAGCAAAGCTGGCATGGTTGGGCCTCAGCTGACCAGTAGGACTGCTTAATCCTCCCATCCATTAAGATTAGCATCACGTCAGTAATGCCCTTATTTCTGCTCTAGATATTCTTTATTCAGGCCCAGATAAAGGATCATTTCCTGCCACATGCCATGTTCTGCAGAGGTTATTCTTAGGCACAACATAAATCCCAATCATTTTATTATAGACTATCTCGGTTTTAAAGCTTTCAACTGATGGAAAGGCAGACCTTTGAACCGTACAACAATGCTCATAAAGCCTGGTAATTCCCTAGATAAATAAAGACTCATTTAGGGTGATTTCAGTCCAGGTTTTCTCACTTTCCTTTAAGGATTGTTGGCAGATAGCACCCTGGCCATTCACGTGAGCCTTCAACCCCGTCACAGCTGTCCTTGCAGCATAATTCTGTCATAATTCCCTTTGATCAGCCAGCAGCAGAACACACCTAGTTCGGGGAATACACCAAGGGGAAAAATGGCCCCAAAAAACCCACCCCTCCCTGCCTTCCCTACTGCGTCTCTCAGAAGAGAGCATATGGAGGAGGATGAAAAAGAAATCGAAATAGACGTGGGAGGTGACAGAGTAGAGGGAACGAGAAGGGAGAACAGGAGAGAAACAACAGAGCAAAATGCAACACATTTTTACTTCGGCTGCTTCAGTATTATTATTATTTTTGTGAAATCCTCAAATTGGGAAAAAAAAAGATAAGATAAGCTTAATGCAAAGAAGAGAAGAGTGAAAATGGATAAGAAAACAAATGAAATTAACTTTGCTTGACTAACACATTGCAGTCCAAAACGAGCGGATTTCAACTGGTACATCAGGTTCACTCAGCTTAAAATGTATCAGTCGTATCAGTCCATGCCGCCCGCAGTATATTGGCACTTGCTTATGTAGAAAGATGATAAAAATGACACTGAAAACTCTCACAAACAGATCCTTCTCTCTCCTACACACATACATGTACTGTAAAGGACGCAAAGACACCACACAGCATTGGTGATAATGATGGCTTGTAATAAATTAGAGGGCAATATATTGCTCTTCCCCTTGTTTCCCACGCAGCACATGTCTGAGAGCGCTTAATTGCCCATTCTCAATTACCACTGGAGGACTGAAGAGAGAGCGGGAGACAGAGAGAAAAAGCAGAGAATACAATGAAAGAGAGAGGGAGGGAGAGCGTGAGAGTGAAAGTGATTATTTGAATTACAGCTGGTAATTGAATAACCCTCCACAGGGGAAGGCTGATAGCTGAGTCGCAGCTTGATAGATGAGTGCGCAGCTCACATTCGTGCCGATAGCCAGTCCCTTCAGGATTTCATTCTCTGTGATAAACACAAAGACCCCTGCAGGCTATGACTTATTATTGGCAGATTTCTATATTTACTATTGCAAAAAAGTAAACAATTTCCCTTTTTATTGTTTTTTTTAAAGGTTTTTATAAAGGTTTTAAGTGTGTTTTAGGACTTCTTGCTCGATGTATTTGTAGCCAGGCCAACTGTGGTTGAGTCAACTTGACAAACGAGACATGAAAATCCCACTCTACGCTAAGTGATTTGATAAAGCTGTGAAAGATGTGGCAGTTTATTGAATGGCCGACTTTATGGACCTGCCTTAGCTGTGTTGGAGCCGCAGCTCTCAGTCTGTCAATGGACTGACTTATGAAAGTCAAGAGAACAGGAGATGAGATGTGAGCCACCTGCTAATAGGTGGGGGGGCAGAGAAAAATGAACAGTAGCAGCACAGAGAGACTGCAGGTGGAGGGCAACATGAATGAACAAATGAATGGAGGTACAGATGATGAATGAGTGAGTGAATAAATAAATCCCTCAGTAGCCAACCAGCTGCAGGTGTTTCTACAGTGCAACTACACCTGGATCCAATGGCAGCATATGCACTCATTTGATTGCAGACTAGATTCATTATCAGACCTCTTCTTGTATGAGGCCAAATGTAACCAATTTTCTTACACATTTGTAAAAACTAACAACGTTCTATCTTCTTGTCCCTCAGACAAACAGAATGAGGTGGAGATGCCGTCGCCGACATCCAAGGCGCGAGAGAAGAAGAAGCAGACGAGGCAGCAGCTGATGACACAGATCAGCGGAGTCAAAAAGGTTTCCCATAGTCCTTCGCTCTCCACCAGCAGCATCTCGCGCTTCGGCGTCAAGACCGATAAGGAGGAGCTGCTGTCCAAAGAGCTGGAGGACCTCAACAAGTGGGGCCTGAACATCTTCACCGTTTCAGAGTACTCCCACAGTCGGCCTCTTACCTGCATCATGTACGCCATCTTCCAGGTATGAATTGTCTGGAATTCTGTATTCTGTTGTTTCTCCACTTATAATTAAGTTGTTTATTTCTACTAAAATGAGCCACACTTATTCCTAAACATTCTACCATGTTGGTTTTCCTAGGAGCGAGACCTGTTAAAGACATTTCAAATCCCTGTGGATACGTTCGTGGCCTACATGATGACATTGGAGGACCACTACCATTCAGATGTGGCCTACCATAACAGCCTGCATGCTGCTGACGTAGCCCAATCCACACACATCCTCCTCTCCACTCCAGCCCTAGATGTAAGTTATTATATAGTTAATTATACTACTTGTGTTTAATACCTCAGATCAGGGTCTTGGAATATTATCAAATTAAGGTCCACTTTCAACTTTACGGGTTAAAAAAATCACCACTTCTGACTTAGTGAGTATCCACAGAAATAGGGGGAAACTCAATTCGATCACCCCATTTGCAATTATCCTGGATCGCCACACCAGCTTTCAAGATTTCAACCTCCTTCCATTGAATCCTATCTTCCCCCATTGATCGGGGAATTACCCCTCGTTCCTCCAACACTTGGCCCTCTGTGACTTATTTGTTAGATTTTCCCTGCATGCATTTTGTATCAGTATTGGTAGGACACAGTCAGGTCAGAATGCCCCGGACTTTAGCTATTGATCTTCTCTTCTTGGCTGTCTTTCATCTATTGAATCCTGCGCACACAGTGTTATACATGTACTTGATCTGTGTAGTTTGAAAGAAAGGCAGACTTCGTATTTGATTGAAAATTGGCATAGATATTATAGTTATTCTTTAGTTTTTTTTAACCCTTTAGAAATGTTTAATGTTTTGTTTTCCACCTCTTCTTAGGCGGTGTTCACAGATCTTGAGATCCTAGCAGCCATCTTTGCTGCAGCTATCCATGATGTTGACCATCCTGGAGTATCAAACCAATTCCTAATCAACACCAGTAAGTCAAAATAATACCCATCACAGGACTGATTGAAATTATTTGTTGCTTTCCTGAAAATGTATAGAATAGATAGTAATAGAAGCCGTTATGACAGAGACTCAAATATATATTTTTGACGCTTTTTCAGACTCTGAGCTGGCGTTGATGTACAACGATGAGTCTGTGCTGGAGAACCATCACCTGGCTGTGGGATTCAAGCTACTACAGGAAGACAACTGTGATATATTCCAGAACGTTCCTAAGAAGCAGCGACAGTCCCTCCGCAAGATGGTCATCGACCTGGTAAGAAATCCTGTTTCTTAGTATTTCCTCTTCTCGATTTAAATTATAACATTCCGAAATGATTCTAATGCTGATGAATGGTTCTCTTTCTTTTTCATGCAGGTTTTGGCCACTGACATGTCCAAACACATGAGTCTGCTGGCTGATCTGAAGACTATGGTGGAGACAAAGAAGGTGACGAGCTCAGGAGTGCTGCTGCTGGATAACTACACAGACAGGATACAGGTGGGTGTTGAGATTTAGAAAAACAATAAAAAAAGGGACAGTTAAAAGAAAAAGCATACTTCATATATTTCCTTGGATGGACTGTGAGAATGTGATTGGACACTGCGAGCCCTCCACCTCTCTTTCGCAGCTTTTAATAGCTCAAATCAATAGTCAGTGTTGGCGGAGGTTACTCAGCCAATGGTCATTAGCCGGCCTCCTACATAGCTGACCTCTGCTCCCTGCTGTCACTCTTTTTCTCACTCCATCCCTCTACACTTGCCCCTTAATGGTCTTTCTAGGATTTCTTCTTTCTAGACTTCCTTTCATAACAAAACCCTTTATAGAAAGAACCTTAAATGCCCCTTCTGTGTAAATCTCATTCGCCTTAATCTGTAGTAATTTAGACTAAAGAAGAAGAAGACTAAAAATGTCTTTTAAACTTTGGGGGCGGAAATGATATATACTCACTACACAAGCATATACTAAATTGCATTTCTGTATTATTTACAGGTGCTGCGTAACATGGTGCACTGTGCCGACCTGAGTAACCCCACCAAGTCCCTGGAGCTGTATCGTCAGTGGACTGATCGGATAATGGACGAGTTCTTCCACCAGGGAGACAGAGAGAGGGAGAGGGGGATAGAGATCAGTCCTATGTGTGATAAACACACAGCCTCCGTGGAGAAGAGCCAGGTAGGCACTCAAAATATCTGCATTTATATATGAAAGAAAAAGTTATAATAATCTCACTTTCGGTTCTAATGTGCCTGCTTTCTACTCTCTAGGTGGGTTTCATCGACTACATCGTGCACCCTCTGTGGGAGACGTGGGCCGATCTGGTCCACCCTGACGCCCAGGACATTCTGGACACGCTGGAGGACAACAGGAACTGGTACCAGAGCATGATCCCCCAGAGCCCCTCCCCGCCCTTCTACGACCAGGGCGTGCACGGACACAGTGGAGGGAATGGAGGTCAGGGAGGAGGGGAGAAGTTTCAGTTTGAGCTCACCGTGGAGGAGGAGGACTTGAATGGAATAGAGAAAGATGGCGAAGGGGAGGAGGATGAGGAAGAAGAAGAAGAGGAGTTGGAAGAGGAGTTGGAAGAGGAAGAAGATAGCCTGGGAGATTCTCGTTCTCCTCCCCTGGACTATTTGGACGGTCAGGAGCTTGAGGAGGGAGTCATGATAGAGCCGGCGATAGAGATTGTGACCCATGAGGCGTCGCCCACAGACACATAGGGCTTCCATCATTAGGCTCACATGGTGATTTGAACGTTTTTGGCAAAAGGGGGAGATCCTCTTGCAGCTGTGCTTTTTAATAAGCCCATAGAAGCAAAGGCTTAGTTTGGTCCCTCACAGGGGCGTTTGCACTTGGGTGTTTGAAGCCAGACACGGACGGACAGTTTCGGTGAGGCGGCTTCAGAGTTCTCAGGAAATAATTACTGCGAACATTTTAGTCTTGATGGACAGGCGAGACTGAGAGTCGAACTTGAAGGATTGCGGCCAGTTTGGGAAATAGTTACTCTTCTTTCTGGACCGGCATTAAATGGACATTGACACTACTGAGAGAAGTTTTGTACCTTAAGACTTTTTTACAGATATGATATGATCTAGAAGTAGCATAGATTAAGATCTACTGATGGAGACACATTTGTATAGCAAAAGAAAGTGTTTACTTTTTCCTGTACCATTTGTCAAAGGACTTTTGTGTGCCTTTTTTACTATTGTCTTTATAATAGTTTTTTATTTATTGAACACTCTAGTATGTCTGTGAAATGTTTTTTTCTTATCTGAAAGAGCAAAATCTTTTTTTGTATGGTAAAGAGAACAGTCTTCCATGTATTGGGCAATAGAGAAATCCAAACAAACGTCGACAAACTAATCTGAATAGGGAAACATTAACACCCACATTATACGCACATTCTGTCACTTTTGTTTTTCAATCTGAGCACAATGTTTCATACATGGAATTCAAATGCTTAATTTCCCTCATGCTTCATGTTACATGAATGTTTGTTGCTTTCTTTAGCAGTTGTTGGTCAATGAATGTCACAGTTACACTAAATCATCTATATTCATCTCTATACATCATCTTTTCTCTTTGCTGTGTAACAGTCTGCAATCCATTGGTCGACTTCCTACCTCTTTCTCACCAAAACTTGACTTTTGATGCAAAATGCTCAGCAAGGATGTGAAATCCTACACTTAAAACTATTTGATCAGATATTCCTGCTACATTTTCAATGTACATTTATGGAGCATTTGATCTGTTTGGTTTTGTCTTTTCATTTTCATCAACCAATTGTTTTCGTGTTGGTGTGAAAAAGAGGATAGTCTAGATCAGGGGTGTCAAACTCAATGTAATCGCGGGCCACATTAGAATTATGGTTGCACTCAAAGGGCCAGTGGTAACTTTAAGACTATATAAATATACATAGATAAATATATATAATATATATATAAAATAATGTATTTTTATTTTACAATATTTCCTCTGCATTGGATTATTATCAGATAGGGTAATAACTTGATAATTAACTACGTCTGAAAGCAGAAGTCTAGGGCAAATCATTGCAAGTTATTGCAAGTCTCTTCAGTGCGCGTCTCACAAAATGAGATGCATTGTGGGACATGTAGTTTATGGGCAACGTGCTCCTGTAAAGCGGCACGTAACCTTATAATAAACGTATTATATTCTTTGCAAGCTCTTGTGGGCCACATCAAATGAAGTGGCGGGCCGGATTTGGCCCCCGGGCCTTGAGTTTGACACCCCTGGTCTAGATCAAACCCTCATAACCTGCAATCTATTACTAGTTTCAATCAGCAGTAATACGAGCAAGTCTTAAAGCAAACAGATAGTGTGCTGCTTAGATCTGTAATAAAGTCAGGAATGAAGTCTACCAAGGACAAAATGCACAACAGCGGTAAATCTATTTCTGTTTTAGCCTACAAGTACGCTGCAGTTTTAATAATCCTGTTAGATGGAACAGGTCCTAACCCCACACCCGTCTGATGTAAGGCCCCTACCCCCACCCCTCGGCAATCAGGCCCAGACCACATGATTAAAGGTGCTCGTACAGCTGCCTATTTGCAGGGCGCTCTCAGACCCTCATCAGAACCTCTATTCATATGGTTTACAAACCCCTTTGGGCTCCACGGACATGACCCCAAAACAATCAGGCCAGCTATTTCTTCCTCACAATAAAAATCCCTCAAGTGCTGCGTCGGGTCATTGACGTCAATTGAATTCCTCCCCCTCCCCCTTGACTGTATCAGGTTTCCAGGACAGAGGGGTTATAGGGATTGGAAACAGATGGAATTGCTGGATTCGGCATGGCAGACTTTACCCTCTAGAAAAACAGAGGGATAATTAGGTGCTCTAGTTTGAAAACAAACCAAAAAAAGCCTATTTTTGCTGCTGAATGAGGTTTGAAAATGGTGTGCAGACGTTACATTTATGCTCCTGACGCTTCCATGACTAATTTGTATTAATGTGCTAGTTGCATCTATATTTACAGCTCTCCATTTCCATATTAGTTTACTGATATACTCAAAGGTACTTCATTTATTTCACTCTAGCATGCGTAAGTGGCAATTGTCTGTGTGCAGTATGTATGTGTGTACAGTATGAAAGGTTTTGTATCTGTGTGTGTTTGGATGTGTTGACTTTGTCATCAGGCCTTACCCCCATCACTCCTCACCTTTGTCTCTACTGTTTGTCGCTAGGAGCTCAAGTTGGTCCTTTTTGCTGTTTATAACAGTGTGTATTTATTCTCTACTTAAAGCTTGTAAATAAGAAATACTGGTTCAGTGTAAAATCTATTTTAATTTATATGCACTTGCATTACCTGGAAGTGGTGGTGTCTAATGTGTAGAAGACTCTGGATTAGAGTCTTTTTATATATGTATTATATATTGTTTTTTATATAAATATATATATATAAATATATCTAAGTATATATTCGCACAATGTTTTGAGTGCCCAGCAGAGCAGCAGCTAAAGATACATGTTGTTGTCACATGAAGACCTTGTAACTTCACAAGACAATGGAAAAACATTTATTAATTAAGCTTATTATAAAGGAATATTAAACAAAGAAATAATTTGGCACTTATATATTCGCAAGTTTCTCTTGGTTAATTTGATTTAGGCTTAGATACATTTCTGAAATAATAGCTATCATTTTAGAGAGGACATGTCCTCATTTGGTTTCGTAGGTAATTTTTCTGATTGGAAGCTATTTTGATCCAACTGAGTTTTTGAAGCTACAAGGTTTTCATCTGACAGCAGTAATTTGGTAACCCAGGGGCGACATAGAGGACATGTTAAACTGCATAGGCTGTGAAATAGGATACATGCAGGCTAGCTAAGGAACACAAAGGCTTAGTCGATGCTTGGTATCAAAGTACACCAATAGCTTATTTTCTCTCAGCAGCTTGTCACAACCTTAGCTTCTCCATCCAGCATTTGAATGCAGATTGCTGATATTATGAGGCCAGATAGATACAGGTTTACCGACAAACACAAAGCAATTGTCTCCTTTTACACTTAACGCACTTGATGTAAAAGTAGATAACACGGGGACTGTATTGGTAGCATGCTACAATACGCCCGGCACTGACGTGAATCGTTCAGAATTAACAACGAAACATGATCGTATGTAACTGATTGTGCTAATGTGTGAACTCTTTCTGACCAAACTTGTTAGCAGTTTTGAAATTCAAATTTGTCAGTATTAACATTGTTTATCTATGTTCAAGCTTTTTTTGGTCCTAGTTGTGTCCAAATGGTTAGCCAGATTTAGCACTATCTGCATGAGAGATGGGGTTTTTTATGTCAATAATATGTTCAAGTCCGCCAATTGGTGGGTTATTAAATGTTTCACACAATGTATGGTATTATATTGTATATTGTGTTCGAAAATAAATCTGAAATACTTTTTCTATTAAGTGATTAAAAGCAAAGCATGAATACATTCCTTGGATTTCTGATATTTTTTTCTCACTTTTATCGACGTCACTGTAAATTATTACCGCCAATTAACAGCAGGTTTTTAACTGTATCAATCTCCTATTTTTGAATACAACACAATACTGGCACAACAAAAGAAAATGACCAAGGCAAGGCAAGGCAAGGCAAAGACCAAAGGACTTTTTAACCGTAAAATTAATCTGGATCCTTTCTTGTCTTAATCTATGTTATTCTCTCAAGTTATTTGGTGGTTACTGGTATTTGTTTCATAACTCAGTGCAAAGACATGCTCCAGTTTGTTACTGGATACTTACTGCCTATTAGACTTTTTCAATACACATCACTAGGAGTCTACTGAAGTCACTTTAACAGTTGAAGTACATTAAGACTTCTGTGCAAGATAGTTATTGGTTAAATCAAGACAAGTTTGTATACAAACTAAAAATCCATACACTTTCAGGGCTTGCTGCAGTATGTTCCACCTTTTACATTTAAATCTCTAATACTGCAAATGTTCAATGACATGCTACTGCGCAATATGCAGTACATATGCTGCCATTCATTGTGTTGTATGTAGGAGTAAGTTGCACAACTTGATTTGACACGGTGTCTTTTCAGGTGATTTATTGAAAAAACCCACCAATGCTGGACTTGCAGACTTTGAGTTTAAATGGTGGGTTTACTACATCCCATTCCATGAAAAACACCAATCTCAAAAATACAGAGAAATTCAGAATCCCTCCTCTATTCTCTGGCTCAGGGCTCATGGGATATTATTTCTTTGAGTTTTTATGTTCATGGTCAACATTATGATAAGAGGAAATAATCAGCAGATGCAAACAATGTCTATTGTGTTCAAAAAGTACATCTGAAATACTTTTTTAATAAAACCAAAGCATGTTTATATTCCTGCGATTCCTGCTGTTTTTTTTTCTCATCGCCTAGTTTTCTTTAGTCTGGGTGAACATTAAATTGGGTCACAGTCATGCTTCTGGTGGGTTCCCACATGTTTGTCACGTTTCATTAAGGCCCAGACTCACCAAACTGACATCACAGAACGAGGGACAACCAAGGCTGATTTTTGCATCGCCTCACGTCTCACATGTTTGGGCCAAGATGTTACACTTGGACACAAAGACTAGGCCAACAGTCAAGTAGCACATACTGCACCTGAATGAGAGAAAATAACTCTCAAACCCAGCAGGTGGCTGTAGTCTGAATTGATCATTCAGAGGGAAAAGACCTCGGACTGTGGACATACTGTATATCCTGCCGCTGAGCACTCACTTGCTCATTGCCTATAGCTTCATTCCAGGTTCCATGTTGTGACAATATTAGTGTGTAGGGTCAAATTAGAAGAGCCTCTGTATGTGCCTTCTTGACTTACTTGCTTATCTCACTTCCCTTTCTCTTTTTAGGAACAGATTATCTTTAACTAAACAGCTAAGAGTGATTTTCTCACTGACATGCCAGCAGTCCAGGAAGACTAGGTCCACACACTTACCGATGACTAAGGTTGTGTCTCGATAATAAGATTGTTTCAGTGGTACCCTGTTTGACAGTTATACTATACAGGAAATGTTACAGAACAACTTACTTTGAGTCTGAGATTGTATCTATATGCAACTGTGGTTCTGTTTTGTAAAGTCAAGTTTAAGTTCCCAAAGTTGGTTAATCACATTATGTATAAAAATAATAAAGCCACAAAAGGTCAGGGGACAATGACCCGTTCTGTGAGAGGAAAAACCCTGTCAAACTCAAACCCCTGGAGAGTGCTGGAAACTAAAGTAGAAGTACATACAACATACTTTAGTGTGTTTTAGTATATCTGTACTATAATAATAATAATAATAATAATAATAATAATAATAATAATCTTCATTCTCTGATGTCTCTCTTTGCTGCATCATCACATCTAATGTGCTGAGACAGGAACACACTGTGACACAGACTCAGCACTGCGGCCTACACACAATCTGACAGTACTGTCCTCATGTGACATAAGGCCTTCACACACTCAAAAACACACATAAACCTGTTCATGTTTGCACGTGTTGAAGGCACACACACACACACACACACACACACACACACTACAAAAGTCCTTTGCAA